TGTTTGGCCCAGGGTCCAACATGCCCTGATGCATGATTGATGTTCTTAATTGAATCAAGTTCTGCAAAGAACCCTCTCAGACACTATTGTTCATCCCTCTCCGTTCAGTTTCCTCTGCTCCAAACCTTGAATAACTCACATTGCTCTGGCTGTCAATCGCCTGCAGCAGTCGGTCTCTCATCACCCGCGGTGAGGCTGACATCGCCCGGTGGAGCCCTGGACCAGATCGGACTGAGACACCTGAGTCTCCGCTGACAAAAGAAGGATTTGGGAAACGTCGGTGACAGTCATGGACCAGATGAGCTTCCTGGAAAGCGTGCAGAATAAATGTCTTTATAGGCGACTATCTTTGCCTTTATTCTCCCCGGTCAGCGCTCTGATTGGCTGGAAGGCAGAAACCTTAAATCCGCCGGCTTCCCTCCGTGCTGCCTCCGCCTACTCATCCCTCTCTCCTCCTCCGTCCCCTGATCTGGCATCATGTACCACCGAACAGCATGATGGGAACTATGTACGTCACCACCGCTAGATGGTTTGCGTAAAATACACGTATTAATTTATTTGACGAGCTGGGAGCCGCTGTATTGCGTAAGCCTCGCCGCCATATTGTGAGTGGCATGCACAACTTGAAAAACAACTCCTCCAGTTTTCGAAATAAAAATAAGAAAAATAATAATTAGCATTTAACAGATTCTGTCTGATAATTTCTCCTTTTTTCGTGATATTATTTTAATTTAAGTACTACTAATGGCTTTATATATATAGAGAGAGAAGTAAACGTTTCTTTATGATTGATTGATTGATTGATTGATTGATTGATTGATTGATTGATTGATTGATTGAGAAATGTACTCATTACATCAGCTCAAATAGTCAAAAAGAGAAGAATTAGTGCCAAAGGAAGAAAAAGTTGCATGAATATATACAGTATATAAAGTGCGTCTGCATATTTATTATTATTTTTAATAATAGCAGGATTATTATACAGGGTTATTGCACAGGGTGTTTATATGGGTATATATATAAAAATATATATATATTTATATCTGTAATTGTTAAAAATTATGGAGAAAGAAGCAGAAGGGAAGAGATAATTTATACTAGATTAAGAACTGGACATACCTACTAGAATGAGTTTTTGTTTGTATTAGTGAAGAGAAATAATGATATACCGGTATGTGAGGGCTGTGAAAGAAAAGAAAATGTGGATCATGTTTTGATGGATTGCATTAAATATGCATCTGAAAGAGAGAGGATGAGGAAATTAATTATGGAAATAGGGAGATAATGGAGTATTAAAGGAATTTTAGGGACAGATGGAGATAGGGAGGAAAATTTGGTTATTAATAAAGCATTTTTTTCATTTTTACATAACACAAAAATAAAAAATAGAATATAGTGGGTAGAACTATAGAGCTGCACACTCATGTACAGTAGGTGGCGGTATGCAGCTATGAGTTGTTTGCAATCCGCCAATCTAACAAAGAAAAATATAGAACACGTACTGA